CCATTCTCCTCTCGGGATCTTGGGCACGCACAGACACATGCGCCCGGCGTGAGTTTTTTAAGCCACCAGGTCCGGGACACGAACCACGGTCGACTATGTGGGAGTCCAGTGACATAACCATTACGCTAACTGCTGGTTCCCAGCAATACTTTTTGGAAGTTAATGAGAGGTTTCTATGTATATGCGTTAGAGGCAGTCAATCTTTGGTTATATTTCTAAGTAAACTTTCAAAGTTGAAAAGAAATAAAGCCAAAAGTCAAAAGCTAAATTTGAAAAAGAAAACAATTTAGAAAAGTACAAGTCAAAGCAAGTCACCCTGCTAATACAATCATTGACAAATGCTCAACAGTTCTATTAACTTCCAGATGAGATAGCCCTGGGTCAGCTGGCTTATATTCTTCTCCACTGGTATAAGTCAGTGCTAGAGGAGTAGTTCAGAAAAATTATTACTTAAATAATAGATTATACTATTGACGTGTTCCTGAAAGGCCAGTATTAAAGGTATTCGTTCCCTGTCCTTAATGGGTGAAGAGAAAGAACACCACCGATTCAGTTAGAGCAAGGGGAAAAAACAAGAGCAGAAAAGAAAATTAGAAAGTCAACAATATCACTGAAACCTCAAGGTTTTTACATTTTATTGAAGTGTAATTTTTAAAACATCTCTATTCTTCAAATGTCCTTGCTTACGATGAATCTGTCACTCAAGAGAAGTATTTTAAGCACATTGGCCTGCTGAATAACAAAAACTCTATAGATCCTGGGCATGTTCTGATCTCGCTTTCTAATCGTGGAATATTTTATGTCTCTTTGTTTCTCTTTGGATTTCACCCTGCCTCAGGTCTGAGTTTGTCACAAATGCCCTAAGTTTAAAATGAAAGAAATCAAGCACTCTACGAGAGGAGGAACACAATGCAGTAAAAACAGGGAAGCCAGGCTTGTGTATTGCTACCAATTCAGTGTTCCAGAGAGAACAGAAATACAGTGTAAATCTATGCATTATAGAAATGTCTGCCCACAAAATGAGGGTGTGTTGTTCTCTCTTGGATTAATGATAAAACTTTATTTGTTGGGGCCATCAGGTGGCATAGTGATTGAGGTGCTGGACTTCCTTCCACATGGTCAGCTGCAGTTTAAGTCCTGGACCTAATGGCTTGAAAAATCATGCCCAGTATGTGTGCAAGCATGCCTGAAACTCCAGAAGGAGGATGGAGAAAAAGGGTCTGTGGCATGGCCATCCTTCATGGGGGGGTGTTTCTCACTTTCCCGCTCAATGGCCCTCTCTATCTCCCTCTGGTGAGCACACATGCCCTATGACCAAAACCTGAAAACAAAAACAAAACAAAACAAAACTTTGTTACTAGATGTCAAGGTCTGGAAAACAAAAACGATTTAGACAAAATTGTCCAATTTTTCTGATATACATAATGATACATTGAGATCTCAGGATCTGATTTTGGAGGTTAAAAAACTGGTTAGATCATTTTAAATTCCAGAAATTATTTACCCAAATGAAAAGCAGCAATATTTTAGCTATCTCTAAAGTAAAAAGGGTAGCCATTGTTAAAATAGTCACAAATGAATCGACCATACTCTAAAGAGAGAGAGGAAGGGAGAAAAGGAACAAAGTTTATAATAATACACATACCTTTACATGATCATATACTTATTTATTGAATAACTTAATCAGAGTGACTAGCAGATGGTATAATGGTCATGGACTTCCACAGAGTTGATAGTGGTTCGAATCCTGGACTCGGCCGCTTGAAACTCACACTGGGTGTGTGTGTGTGCGTGCCCAAAATCCCAAGAGGAGAATTGAGGAGAAGAGATTATGGCATAGCCATCCCCCCTGGGGGGTGACTTCTTTTCTGTCTCTTTATCTCTTCAGCAAGCACATGTGCCCTATAGCAAAAATCTCTAAAAAAAAAAAAGAAAAGAAAAGAAAAGAAATTAATCAGAGGTGCATGAATACATAAATTACTTAAAGAGATATTTAATTATTTTTCTATATTACTTATTGTATTTAGCTCAATATATAATTATTAAACATTTTGTATCAGATATAAGTGAGGAATATAACATAGTATTTATCGGTACTTATCTTCATGGAGATTATACTTTAGAAGAAAAGATAGAAAGTAACTGAGTTAACATAATATCATGCCAATGCCTAATTTTATTTGTTGCTAAATACTCTGAATTTAGTAATTAGAACACTCTAAATGGAGAATAACAGTAGCAGTGAAACTACTTTGTATTGAGTGGTCAGTATAGTCTTTTCTGAAAAGGTGAAATTAAAGCTGATGTATGATTAATGAGAAGAATCTGACAGTTTGATGCATGGGCTAGGAAAATTCGGAATAGAGAATGAACTGGGAGAAACTTCTGAGGCAAGAGAGGACTGGGCATGTTCAAGGAACTTAAAAGGAAGCCACTGGAAGTGGAGCAGCCATAGGCCAAGCAAAATGGATGGAAAAGAAGAGCCCTGAATTCTCTTACAGAACAGAGTGCGGATCTAGTCTATATGTCAAGTGCATTGAGAAACTAACCATCAAAGACTTTCAGGCATAGGGAACCAGCAGTTAGCATAATGGCTATGTCGCTGGACTCCCACGTAGTCGACTATGGTTCGCATCCCGGACCCGGTGGCTTAAAACTCACACCGGGCGTGTGTGCGTGTGTGCCCAAGATCCCGAGAGGAGAATGGAGGAGAAAGGATTGTGGGGTGACCATCCCCCCTGGGGGGGGTGATTTCTCGCTTTCTGTCTCTATGTCTCTGTCTGGCAAGTGCACGCGCCCTATAGCAAAAAAATCTCTCAAAAAAAAAAAAAAAAAAAAAAAAAGACTTTCAGGCATAGGAGTAGGATCACTTAAAGTAGTTGTCCAAAAGTTTGTTATATAGAGGCTAACAGGTGGCATGGGGGTTGAGGCACTGGACTCCCTTATGCCCAACCATGGTTCAAGTCCCAGACCTAGTGGCTTTTTATACCTCTCTCTCTCTTTTTCTTTCTCTGGTAAGCATGTATGTCCTTTAGCAAACTAAGAACAAAAATGATGAATAAATTAAATAATTCTTTTAAAAATTCATATATATATATATGAATATATATATATATTCCTGTTATATGAAAAATAAAAGAATAACTAGAAGGGGCTCAAGTGGAAGTGGGTAGAAAAAACAACCATCCAGATAGAAAATGAAACTGGCAAAGAAAAAGACAATATTAGTGGATAATAAGAGACCTTTTTTGAGACATTAAGCAATTTGAAATACACAATGTTCTGACATCATGTTTAGTTTACTGTTCAAACCTCTTCCAACATGTGTTCAAGTTCTTTCTAGAGACAGAGATGGTTTGAGAATGTCTTGCTTTTTCTTTTCACAGCTGAGGTTTGTGTGTGTGTGTGTGTTTCCATTTTATACTAATTAACATAACGAGGTGATATGTTAAACTAGACCAAAGTGCCAGGGTTGCTCAAACGTCATTGAAATGTCTGTCTTCCCTGGCCAGACTACACTGAGCTTCTCTCACTCAGGTGTCAATATTGTGTTTCTGTAACATGGTGTTATATTTCTTGCTTGGGCCAACAAATTTGGTAAATTCTTCCTTTTTTTTAATTTTTGATGAGGACTCATTCTCCCTCCCTCTTTCTTTTTTCCTCTCCCTCCCCTCATGGTGAGTGCATGTGCCCTATAGCAAATTAAAATTAGAGAAAAATATATCAGATTCTATCACTTCTCTACTTAAAACCTTCTAATAACTTTCCAAGGTACTCTATAAAACCTAAGCGTGTTCATTGGCCTATGGACAATTTGTACAGGGAGGGGTTAATACATAGTCTATCAATGTGCTGGTAAATATTTAACAATCAGTATGATGAATGTAAATCAGAAACATAATCATAGAAACAGATCAGAGAGAAAACATAAGTGTGTTGAGTTATGGT